CTGGAAAAGACATGAATTACTCAGGTTCATTCATCAGGTTTCACATAAAATTTCCATTTTTTGTACCACGAGGGTTATCTTAAGACTGTCCTGAATTTTTTAAATGCTTGAAAACTAAGTCTATCCCAAATCCCTTCATACAACACTGAAAAGAGACTGTTAGCCATTCTAACCATAAAGAATAGCAATCGGGATAAAAAACGAAATTTTCTTTCGATAAATGAACTTTTAATCGTTTGTCTTACGATGTTAGAATCATGCTAATCAATCGTGCCAATTATCTGCCAATGAGGGGGGACTTTAAGAATGTCACAGAGCCTTGTGGGAAGATCAATTAAATTTTATTGAGAAACTCAAAATCCTCCGACACCCCCGGCGAAAAATAATGACCCGTCCTTGAGGAGAATTCGATTCATTGTTAGACAATTCAGTGTTTTGGCTGAATGCACCAAATTGTTTTAACTTTGGAAAACATAAAGTCCACCGATTTTAAATTACCGGTAACAGGAGAAAGCTTGTACATCCAAGAAAGTTCAAGGAATGTTAACTGCTTTTCTAGCAAACCAACCTGAAACCAAATATCGTGATTTTGGCAGGAGTAAAAGCTTTCAGGTTGTACCACAGGCATCCCAAGCAAAATTCTCCAAAAAAAGGAAAAAGATTAAGTCATGAAAGACTCATAAGACTTATAAGATTTACAAGTCTTATATATGTCGTACGTAGGCCATATAATACTCTGTCTTCTAACAGGCCGAACAACAGTGATGGCAAAGCAAGCCCAAAGCAAGCTATAAACGGTAGAGAACGCCAAAAACTACAACGGACACTCAAGGTGTGAGTAAGTTCAAATAATCTGACGTGTAAAATTTTCATATATCGAAATATTTAGCGTTGTAAATCGAACATGTTTCTTTCCCCATACTATTCCTTATAACGCGTTCAAATTCCCAACGGTTTCTCGCGTAACTCAACCCCGCGTCATATAACGCGTGACGCTTTCATGAATTAATCTTTTGCTTTTTTCGAGTCGTGAATTGCAGAATCGTTTAACAGTATGTCAATATTTGTCTTTCTTCAAAGTTCTCACAAAAAAAAAACCGTACAGTTGGTGCAGATCCACCTTAATTTCCGAAACAAAAGAAAATTTGCTGTTGCAAATGAACGAACCAACAAATAATTTGTTTTAAAATATGTTGAATACGATCATGTCACACAATTTCAGTTAAATTCTGCTGCACTTTTCTTTACTTGTAAGAACTGGCCGGTAAAATGGTCGGTAAGATGACAAAGAACTATCGATAAAGGTTGTATCAACACCAAAACTTAAAAGAAAAAATGGGTTTTTCTTGTCATACGGGTTGCTTTCTGCTCTTAATGCTTTTTGAGGATATAATTAGAAACTTGCATTCTATTTGATTTTCCGAGAAAATCAATCTCGTGTTTAATCACTGATTCATATACAATGCGTAAAGCTTTCGAGCACACTTGGTAACCACTAATTTACAGTTACTAGAACATTTTTTACGATATCTATGAGCCATTTATCATACGAATAGAATTAAACCAATTGTAAGAGATCTGCACTCATGTCTTTAATTCAGTGACAAGGAACTTCTACAGTCGTTCGGCGGCCGGAAGACAACTGTAAAATCGAAACCCCGTTTTGTGCGCTTTGGCGTCAGTAAACAACTAGAAACAGCTTATAGTAACATTAATTTATGCTGAATGGTACAGGCGAAAATTATTCTGTGACAAGCATCAGGACAGCGAAAATTTACCTTCTTTTTATCATCTCCTGAATGCTCCATAATATCAAATCCATCGGGAGTGTTTACGAATGTCGTAACGGTACCATGAGTATCAAAAAATTTTCCATGCGTAATTGTTAAATGATGAACTTCGTAATAGACCTCGCTTACCGTGGAGTCTCTGTGGCTCACTGGTAGAGCATCGGAGCGCGGAATCCGAAGGTCTGAGGTTCGATTCCTCACGGAGACTCAGAATTTTTTCTTTGTCCCTGCACGCTCGTTACATGACGAAACACATCTTTCTTTATATCTTTACCGAGCTCAAAACTTACCATCTCTCTTATTCCTATCTACAAATTGTTAAATAGTTACCAAATGATAAGCAGACCGCACTCGTTCCAGCAATAGACTTTTAGGCATTTCAACGATTATAGTCAAAGCATTAGATAACACAGAGAGGCAATGGAATGAAAATGAAAGCGGAAGCACAGCTAACTTTGAAAGCAGGAGATCCGCTAGCTCTGCGTAACTTTTCGTGGAGGCCGAGGTGTTCTGACTTTATCATATGAGAAGAGTTGTTTGTTGTCAAATGCAGCCTCTTGGCGTCATTGGTTCAATGAAGGAGGACTACTCCTTGATTATGCTGCATTTTGAACTTTGGTTTACTGTACCGCTCGTCAAGATCGCCTGATGGTTTAATAGTACTAAACTTGCCTAGAAAGGTTTGTCCTGATGCATTGCTCTGGTGTCAAATATCAAAGAAAATCTATAAGTTTAAGCCACTTACCTTGCAGAAAAACCAAGAAACAAATTCTTAAGTAATTTTTTTGACTGGTACCCTCTCGCGTGATAAGCGAATAACGCATTGCATTCTGGTTCTTGTTGACATTCACTTTAGCGAAAGCTAGGTTCTCGTGCTTTTCCACTAATACGGCTTTCTTCGTTATTCTGTGAGTCTGTCATGTTTCAGTCATAATTGCCTTCTACGGATGAATGGTAAGTCTGTTTACTATTTTTAAACAGCATGTTACTCTAGAGGAATTATTACTTGTCTGCAAAAGTTGACCTCTCATAGCAGTTGTGTATCAAATTTGTAAGTTGTGAGCTCGTTCTTCATCTCTGAATCAGGCCTTCTCTGTACGGCAAATTGTTATCAATCTTAAACCGATCTCAAAGCAATGAAAGTTCGCGCGAAGGTCTGTTAAAGACGAGGAACGGCGAGGTATAGAGAGAGATACGTGTAGCGTTACTCATTTTGGAAAGGATCAGGCCTCGAAGGCTTGAAGCTATCCGAAGCTCTTTGCAGCTTATTTTAGCTTGCTTCTTGTTTTGTAATACTTCGTATTCTGTTTTCAGGGCTAAAAATAGTAAAGATCCTTAACTCCCAAGATTTGATTATTAATTCTTCCGCTAGCTGCTAGAATTTGGTGTTTGATCGAGAAAATACCCAGCTGGATAATGTATGGAGATATTGGGAGAAGTTACATGTAAATCTCTACTAAAAGTTACAGGGCAAAGTGGGATGATTATGTTTGCTGTCAGGCTTTGTAAGTGGCACCACAGGCAACCCAAGCTCCAGCTGTGAGGTGATTATCTTGCAATATAGGAGTCATAGTGAAATTATGAGTTTGCATGGGAATATTTATGACAGCTCCTAGGAAGTAAAAATACAACATATTCTCAATAAAAATACCTCACCGCACATCTATAGTACATTGCTTGTTGTCTGACCACTTATTATGTTGAAAAGAAGCCATTTTAGTGTGTTATTCATTTTTTAGTTTCCTAGAATTGGATAACTCACTAAAATGGCCTCATTGCTACAAAGTAAGCAGTCAAAAACAAGCAATGCAATGTGAAAGTTGAGAATTTGACTGTATTTTCAAATGTTATTCCTAAGAGCGGTCATAAATATTCCCATACAAACTTTTATATTTTCATCATGACTCTTCATTTACAAGTTGATCATCTCACAGCTGGAACCTGGGCTGCCTGTGGTGACACAAGCACATATTTGATTATCTAACAATCCTTGCAGAAAGAGGCATAGACTTAGATTTGATGGCAGAGTCCTCAAGACCACAAGTGTCCTGCCAAGTTAAAGACTGTTCATTTTGCCATTTGACTAGCTGTTTAACAAGATACATATGAGGTGGTGGATGGTTACTTGGAAATCAGGTATGAAATGTAAAAATACCAGGTAACCTAAAATACTAGGGCATGAAAAATGTGTGCTTGTTGTTTTCTGTGATGAAAGAAATTGTGATTGAAAGATTATCTCTGAGAGAAATTTTTGCATTTGTGAGATTTTGTTACAGTTTGAACCATAGGCCAGTTTTATATAGTTTCAATGTTATTTATATTGTTCAAGGGTTCGCAGTCTATAGTATTTAGTATGACTAATGACAAAGCTGTCACATTGCTCTATGATGTGCATTACTGATGACCTCTTCTTGTCAGTGAGCAAGCTTGTTAAAGTGGTTTGCTCCATGTTAGTTTAAGGCTTGTTTTCAATATTTTCATCATAGAGAAACAGCATTTATTTTACATGTTGCAGTGCAAGGAAACAAAGCCAGCATAATCTCAACCAAAAGCAGGATGGAGCTGAAGCCTTCAGGTTTGGAAGACAACAAACTTGCATAGTTACATACAGGTTTTTCTGTTCTGTGTACATTGCTAAAACCCTTGAGTTCTTGCCACTGAGACTGGGACAACTACATGCATATCTTCGCATCTTAGCACTTATAAATACAGTAAACAGCACTTTCCATGGAGGTTGAAACTGTCTCTTTCCCAACTCTTATGCCAGTATTGAACTTGGCTCTTCAGTCCTCCATTTGTTTGATTCACCTCACTTCCTTGGCTTTTTACTGAGTCAGACTAAATTTAATACAGAATGTTTGTTTTTTTTTGCCATCTTAAATCTACCTTGTGCTTTTTTACTATAGTGCCAGACATATTTTTTTACACATCATCCAATTTGGTGACCAATGTGGAGATCAGAGAACAAAACTCAAGGAAAGTCTGCTTTGATTTTAAACTAATCAATGCTTTCAACCTTTTTTTGTTACTTTATCTTGCAGTCTTAATTGTTTTAATTGTTTTTTATTGGAATTATCACTAACATGACTGCTGAGACTGCTGTACTTTCACTTGCGTACTGGGCTCCCAAACTTTCATTTGCGCTTGCCTATAAACCAAAATTTATTTGGCATGGCAATTAGCCTTTGGTTTTTTCCTGCCCTAAATCAATAAACTGAAGGTACTAAAATCACTGTCTTATTTCAGTGAGGTAGTTATGTACATGTAATATGTGGTATGGTCTTAAATGTAAATCATCCTTTCCATGTACCAACATGTATGTCAACAATACTACCAGGAAGCTTGTTCTTCTGATTGACTGCCCAGCTAGGGTAAAAGCTGTTTCCATGCTGGTTGCAATTTTAATGTGGCCATAAAAATGTCGTAAGAGTGAGCACAATGACTCCACTTGGTCTTTGAGAGCATTCTCATTCATTGGGGAGTATCTTCCTTGGTATTAATTTTTGGCTGGGATCACTCGTGGATAGTTGTGGGGAAAAAGGTTCCATTTTCTTCAAAACAATGCATATGATCTAGTTGTGCCCTTAGTTGGCAATCCATTCCAGAAAAATTCTTCAAAATTTTCCCAAAAAAGGAAAGAAAGAAGAAAGAAAGATGAGACGAAATACTACTTAATTCTTTATCTGAACACCTGTGCTCTTTTGTCTTGTCCTTTTTTCCTGCTATTGAATGGTCTTGTTTTCCTCCACATATTGTGGTAATGTTAACTCTACAAATAGCTTTGGCTTGTTCCCAGTTGTGTTTATGAAGAGCTAATGTAAACGACTTCTTGTGAAATTTTCTTGGTGTTGGCCTTGTCTGTTAGATTACAGTGTGTGACCTTTGTCATCTTTTAAAGGGTGAGGCCATGAGCAGGTAATTCGTGCACTCCCGTGTGACTCCAGCTTAAACTAATAAATGATATTAACTAGCTAAATGAATGCCATCATTGGTTTGATGCATGGAATGTATGGTGGTGTGAATCAAGCAATAAATGGTGAAAAACCTGGGTGATTGTTGATGTGTCACGCAAAGCCAACTGACCAAAAAGGCTAGAGGAATAACTTTGTTAATTTAATGTGCATCAGGTCCAAGATGACTAGAGCCTATGGCTTCTTCTATGAATAGGTGAGGCTGGTCCATTTGATGGCTTAAAAAACGGTTTTCACATGTTCACAATGTTTTTCATTGGCTTAATGTTAGAGGCAGAATGTTTAAAGACTTAATATTGCACTTGTGCTGTATGTCTGGTTTTACTGATTGTCAGAAGTAATCTCCCCCTAGGATTAGTTGAAGTTTGTTTCTGATCTATGGAGGATTATTTTGCAGGCAACAAGCAGGAATAGCTTCTACTAGAAATTCATAGAGTTTGTTTACTGTACATCGAAATATACTAGATGAATAAGGAAATGTTGATGATATCTTTAAAATGATTTTAATTAATGTGTAATTGCAGCTAAGGTTAAAACTGTACTTAAGGGTGCCCTCAGGTTGAAATCCATCAATATAGTAGGTCATAACTAAAACAGTCACGGGATCATAACCATTCATGGTAAACTGCAGAAAATTGGCAGGAGGCAAGTATACGAACCTATGTACCAGCCAACAAGTAAAGTTGAGCAGATTTGTTTATTCGTAGTTTATAAGTAACAAATACAAAGACTATCGTTTTTAAACCTTTATTCTGCCCCCTCAATTTTAAAGCACAAAATATATCAAATAAAGCTGTTTTCAAGCATCATGGATCTACTTAAAAAGCACTTCAAACCTCTCACGCGAAATCGGGTTTCAATCATAAATGTTGCCATGGCAACCAATTCATTCCAAGACAAGATTAACTCCTCAAAACTCTGACACTTTTCAGTCAAAGTGAATTTTTCTCGATAGGTTTGTAGTATGTCATGTCTTAAATATTTGTGGCAAATTTTGTGATGTTTGCACAAATACATCCTGAAGAATTTCAGGGGGTACCCAGATTTTCACGAAAAATCCA